CTGTTGATGTTGCAATTCACTCTGCAGATCTCTTGCATGCCCCATACTGACTGTAACCCCAAACCATGATTTTTCCTACACCAAACTTGACTGATTTCTTGAGAATCTTTGCATTTGTGAAGATTGGGATGCAGTTTTAACAGACAATTTATCAGAAAATGTTTCCTTCTGTCACTTTTCTAAATGTTCAACAAGAAGCCAAGTTATTTTTTCTTGCTCTTACATCTGGGATTGACGACAAGACTTTTGTCAGGTAGTGTAGATAGTGTTAAATAATGTTTTTATTTCCAAAGAAATGCTCATTTGAACTCTCTATTCTTTAAAGAACATGAATACACACCCACACCATGTGTGTATACAGTAGATTCAGGTGTTTTTGCACATTTAATATTAGATAACTAAAGGATTTTAGACAACCACTAAAAAGTAAGATTTAGTTTTTATTTTTTGAAAGAAGTTAATTGCATCACTTGCATTGATCAAGAGAGACAGCAAAGTTATTTACAATGTAAAGTTAGATACAATTACTACATTTAAACTCTCTATTCATTAAAGAACATTAAAACACACTCATTAATACAAAAACAATGAATGTATAGATAAAACTGTTTTGTTTGTTTGTTGAAAAGTTAATATTACATAAAAAAGGGATTACAGACAAACCGTTGAAAAGTCTGGGCTTAGTAAGATTTTTTTTTTAATAAATTAAACTTTTCAGGAAGGCTACATTAAATTGACTAAGAGTGAAATATAATGCATTTATAATGTTGGATAATATTTCTGTTTTCTCATAAATGCTCATTTAAGCAGTACTGAAACTGATTTTGTTACTAAATAGTAGTAATAATAATAGTAGTATAATACAAGTAGTTTCCTAAGCAAATAAGCAAATTAATATTCTGAAAACAAAGAGTAACAGAATAACAATGCTATATATTCTGCAAAATAATTACTATGATATATATTTTTAAAGCTATTAAGCAAGAAAATAATTGTTTTAAATTGCAATATAATTTCAAAACGTGTTATATTTCATATTAATCAAATATTTACAGCCTTGGTGTATAAGAGACTACTTAAAAAAATAAAATAAAATAAACATAAAAAAAAAGTTTAATAAAATATTTTGTTGATGTTGTTCCAAACAAAGTAGTGCATATAGGGGTGCACTTTTTTGGATTGATTTCCAACAGTTCATCAAATAATAACTTAATACTGTGTTTTATTTATACAAAATATTGTATATTGTGTTTTTTCTACAGTTTCACCCACAAAAAAAAAAAAAAAACAGGTAATGCAGATTAATTGTGCATCCTTGCAGCATTTTGTTCCTGAATGAATCCAATTTTGAATGACTCATTTGAGTCTACTTAAAAAGTAAGACATACTGCAGACTGTTCACTCTGTCTCTGTAAGATTGCAGAGGTGCTACAAGAACTGAAAGGCCACAGGAAATGGGAATGGTTTTGACATATGGTGCCGTTACGTCAGAGATGCATCGTGTGTCCTGCATATGGTTTGTCCTGGCAGTTTCTTAGCTGGCACATGCTAAATGCTGTCATGGTGCCACCAGATTATAACGGCAACTCCATCTTTTCCGGCATGGGCATCTTGGCACTTCAGTAAGACTAATGCACCTGCTGCCCATCACAGAATTTGAGTCAGCAACCCTTTATGTAAATCACTTACACATGAGAGCAAATTTCATCTTAAGTGACTAAATATTGTTGTTAGCACTGGTTTATAAGATGTTTATTTAATTCGCCAATGATTGAGTTAAAAGTAGGTATGCACTGAAATGGAAATTCAGAACCGAAAGCGAAACTGAAAATTCTGGATACACTCAGGACTGAGACCGAAAATGGTTTGTAATATTATTTATTATTTTATTAAACAATATAAAGTCATTTTGTAAGACTTTTAAATTTAACTCAATATCTTGAATTATACTGATAAAAAACGCATGCCTATAAATTAGCCACATTTTATTGATCAATAAGCCTAATTTTACCAGCGTTGCCATGACAGCACTATTGCAAGCAGAAGGAACTAGTATACTATGTAGAAATGTCCTGTCACAGCATTATTTGCGCAAACGTTTTGCTTGGAGATTTGCTACTTTTAACTTACCCTTTGCTTGGTGCAAGCCATTGATATGAATAGGTTTTGTAATGGAGCTGAAGGGAGAGTGAAACTAACATCCTGGGACTTTTTTCGGTTACTACTTTTGGCAATATTTCAGTGCATCAATAATTAGAAGTTTGGATTAAATTTAGCGTAGATATGTTTTCACATATTTCAGCAGCCTGCTCCTGAATATACTAAGTGGCTGTTTACTTATTGCATCTAAAACTTGTGAGAAAACTTCCTTCAATTTCAGCTTACTATCATCTCAAAAACATTGCAAGAACTAGAAATGTCCTGTCGGTACATTATTTGAATAAATCTTTTGCTTGGAGAACTGATACTTTTAACTTAAGCTTTGTTTGATGCAAGCCATTGAAATGAATAGGTTTTGTAATGTAGCACTATGGCTGGAGGAAGATTGAAACTAGCATGCTGGGACTTTTTACTGTTAATATTTTTGCCAATATTTCTATTTTGGGCAAAAATTGAAAATGCGGTTTCTATCAGTAACTGAAAATTCAGTGCATCCCTAATTAAATGCTTGGATTAAGTTTAGCACAGTTATATTTTCCCTAGTCTGCTCCTAAAAATACTAAGGGACTGTTCTTTTATACAACCCAGGCGCATTATGGATACGTACCCAGGTCTACATTTCTGGGGAAAGCAAAATATGTAACGGGAGGAACGTCTGCTCGCAGTTTTTGTTTTTGCAAATCCACCAGACGCTGCTGTGTATGCTTTTTGATGATCTTAAATTTTTATCACCTTTCCTCTTCTTGCCTAAATCCACTTGAGGGTGCAATACACACTTTAGCTGACCAGGAATATCTTGCTGTCAACTGACTGACAGACAGACTTATCCACCCACCCCCATCCCTAAACCCAACCGATAGTGTTTTCAAAATCTAGAAAAAGAAAAGACATCGGGGCTGTGTGATTTCACCATGTTTTCAGCCTGTTGTTTATTTATTTATTTTTTTGCTTTGGTTTACTTGGTTTCTTGAACTTTCCATTGCCGGACTCAAACCTAGTCGTCGTGGTCAACTTCACTCTGAATCTCAAGTCCATCGGCATATGTAGCAAACTACTGGGCAAACTGGTAACACCGGAAAAGCCGTCCGTACTGAGGTAATCGATCAGCTGATATAGTGTCATACCACCCCATAAACAGGGGTAAATATCCACAATGAGACTGTGTTGCTTTCATAACATCTAAAACCATGTGGAATATGCAAGCCGCACCACTTCCTTCATTTTCAATGCACTTTTGAGCTCATGCTCCTGTGGCGTCTGTCTTTGCTAAGCCACCAACAGCCACAGTCTTTAAGGAACCACCCCTGATAAACATTTGCTGCAGCTCTGATACACTGCCACAATCCTTACATGCTCTTCATGTGTCTGAGGTAATTAGTCTACTATTACTACAGAATTGTGTATAATCCATACAAAACTGTGAAGATGATTAGTTGGTTCCTGTCACATGATGTGCAGAATGCTCGCAGAATTCTGAACAATTGGGATGTATTAAACACACTGTGATAAAGTAGACCCAAAAATTCCCTATTTTCACAATCTATGTGTCTCCATTTTAAATAATGAATTTAAGAGTGGATTTTTTTTAAGTGGATTGAGCAAAAAATAAAATATAAAACAAAATAAAAAACTATTAAGTTATCCCAAAAAACACTTAATAAATATGTTGATTCAGCTCATTTTAAAAAAGTTTTTTTTTTCGAGTGTGCAAAAGGCACAATATGTAAATAGTCCCTAAGTGTGTTACAGTGCAGTAATGAATTCATAACACCAGACAAAGTGGTACAGTATAGTATAGTACGGGTCACCTTTATCAGGCTTGCGTTTCCACTGCCAAAGGGGTACCAATGGTAACCTCTTGTTATAAAGTAATTCCATCATGCCAAGTTCATAACAGTCCAAAAGGTGATGATAATAGCTAAACATGGAAGTTTGATCATCTTTTAGGTTGCCGAAAGAATTAGTTACTCCTTTGTTTTTTCGTGCTTCACTCTCACGTTTTTCCGTTTCTGAAAGGATCCGATGTCAGAAGCACTTCAATATTAATTTGCACACTATTATCATCAGCTCAAGAAGTTCATTATTTCAAACATAGGTGCACGGCAAACTCATGCAAGAAAGTGAAACCGCTCGCGCTTTAGATGGCCTTGTAAACAACAACGGGGCACAGGGTAGATTCTGCTCTTCTCCTTGGCTTTGTGGCTGTTTATCAAGACAACAACAAGGTTTGTTTATGCTCGGGTTAACCATGGCTCGCTATTATTTAAATGTTATTATGGCGTAATGTCTCGGTTGTGTATTTAAAAATGGTGCTTTCTTTTTTTTCATTCTCCTGGCTTGTCGCACGAGCGAGTGACATAACCAATAGTGTTCAGTTGCACGTCTTGCTCCACCTTTTATCGTGCTACAAAAGTACGATATGGTTAGTTTTTGATACCTTTTGACAGTAGAAACGGCCATAAAAGCATACCGAATTGTACAGTACCATACCGTACCATGCAGTGGAAATGGGCCATAAGTATCCTGAGCAACTTTAGAGCCATATAGGTTCAACTGCTTACAAATGGAGGAAACTATTATCCATTACACAGAGGCAGAGAAATCAGAATGTGTATACATTTTTTCCAGGACTGGATAAAGAGCAGGAAGGAATCACACTACAACTGCTGTGTACGTGTTGAAGGGTGTCTGGTACAGAAGTGTGAGCACATGTGGACATGCAGGTAAGGTAAAGTGGAAAGAAAGAGTTTCTAAAGGATAAAAACATCACTGTAAGGGTCTGTGCATGGGACACACACTCATACACACTGGAGGGCAGTGGGATGATGCAAGTTCTTTACCTTCCACTGCGTTTGAGTGGTAGTCTGCTTTGAAGCATGAATGGAGACAAGAACAGAACAACAAATAAGCCATGAACCTGAGCTATGAACACATACACACACATACAAACTTATAAAGCGTTAGTATGAGTTACATCCACATCTGTAAAAATGTACATGGAACAAATGCTGTCAGAGTTTAATCACAGCAGAATCTCTTCTGGATCAGGATTCACTAACTAGAGCACGTAAGCAAGAGAGCACAGCCCTCACAGCTGAGCATCAGTGTGTGTGTGCGATGTGAAAGACGGTCTCCAGAGAGCAGTCTTTGACAGACAACAAACCTTCGCTTCCCTGTTCTGAGACACAGCAGTGTAGATGACATAGAAAAGATGGAAAAGCATGTGCATCTCGCAAAACAGACAGTCTGGAGGTCACTTCAGCTCAAACGACAGCTCGGTTCGGAACTCAGCCAGCAGATCTGCTTCTACAGACCATCTCAAATCCCTTTCATGCTACAGTAATGCCATTACATCCGGGACTATATATAACTTGTAAGTATGTATGTACATTTTTGGGGAGCGTTTTTATTTTTTTTTTTACAATATGAATGTAACATTTAATACATCATTGCATTTACTAACAAACAAAAATGTTTTATTGTATATTTATTTAATTTTGAAAAATATATCATATTTATAACAATTCCACAACATAAATTCATAATTTCCTAATCTATTGTAAATGTATTTATTCAATTGTAATATGTTACTATATACAGTTAAAGTCAGAATTATTAGCCTGCCTTAGTTATTAACCCCATGTTTATCCCCCCACCCCCAATTTCTGTTTAATGGAGAGAATATTTCTAAACATTTCTAAACATAATAATTTTAATACCACATTACAAATAACCGATTTATTTTATCTTTGCCATGATTAAAGTAAATAATATTTGACTAGATAGTTTTCAAGACACTTCTATACAGCTTAAAGTGACATTTATAGGCGTAACTAGGTTAATTACGTTAACTAGGCAGGTCAGAGTAATTAGGCAAGTCATTGTATAACGGTAGTTTGGTCTGTAGATTATGGAAAAAAAACAACTTAGAGCAGCTAATAATTTTGACCTTAAAATGTTTTTAAAAAAATTAAAAACTGCTTTTATTCCAGCCAAAATAAAACTAATAAGACTCTCCAGAAGAAAAAATATTATCAGACATGCTGCAAAAATGTCCTTGCTCTGTTAAGTATCATTTGAAAAATATTAAAAAAAAGAAAATATAATTCAAAGTGGGGCTAATAATTCTGACTTTAACTGTATATACACTGTTGTATGCCATACACATTTCGCCATTTTAACCCTTTAACTAGACCAAGAAAAGTGTTCGGATTGCATTTCTTAACTTCCTAATGTCGCTATTTAACACACTCAACACATTTTTTTCAACACATCCCGTAATTTCTAAATTATAAACCTCTACCAAATGGTTGATATGTCGTTTTGAGGTAAAAGTACCGGAATTAATACACTACTATAAAAAAATGTGAAAATATAAAGTGTACAGTAAAACTAATTTATATAAAAAAATAGCATAATAAAAATAAAACATTTTGAATACTAAATCATCTTTATTTTTTGAAGTATGCCATAAAATATTTCAGATTGTCATTTACCATGTTTTCTTGTTGTTATTTTTTTTAACAATAAAACCAAAATGAAGTGTAGTAGTGCAACAGGAGTATGCTTGTTTGATTGTTTTCTAAACCAACAATGCTGTGTGTGTAAGCCATTATTCAAAGCAGTCAATCTTTAAAAAACTTGAACAGTCATTATTTAAAACAGAGTTGAGCAGGCAGTTAATGGGTTAAATTACTGAAACTGATAACCAACAGCCTCCTTGGTTGATTACAATAATGAACGACACTTTTAATTCCTAAAAAAACTGTGCTGAACAAAAAGACTTGCTAGCTAACAACTATTAGGTTACTTTGGATCAATTTCCAATACATACCGATACATATAACAATGCATAATTCCAGTACAGATGACTATAGATGATAAAGATCCAACAATTCAACTCATTTAACATAAAAACACACTGCAACAAGCAAACCATGAACCTCCAAATGGATTTATCTCCACAGATCAAATTTGGCGTAGCCCCGCCCCCTTTTCAAGAAGACTGACAGCTGTCAGAAGCAAATAGATAAGCAAAGAAAGGGCACTCACCTTTGACCCTCTCTCCGCGGTTCAGCTGGATCTCTCCCTCTCCCTGCGGTGAGTATGGTTTGACCACGATGAATGTGCGCCCCGGCACCGCGCTGTAGAGTTTCCTTTTGGGGCCCCGGGCTCCTGAGAGTGTGTGCGAGGGCCCCACGGGAGGAGGGCTGGGGTCCCGCTGGACCGTCCCCGGGCTGTAAACAAAAACATAGGTTACCGTGGTGATGCCTGGCAACTGGTAGCCAAATCCAGTGGTCACCGACATGGTCCCAAGAGAAGGCGTGCAGCGTGTGTGCGTGCGCGGCTCTCCTCCTCGATATCCCCGAACCGGCCAGGGCCGTCAGGTGCGAGCGGCTCACTTCTTCTCTTCCTATCCCTCTCTCCTCCTCTGCTCCTCTCTTCCACCTCTCCTCCCTCTGAGCGCTCCCCGCCCTCCCCCTCGCTCCCGTTAACGGCTGCCTTTCGCGAACGGCGCCGAGCGCTCGGGCTGCACTCACCGCGAGTGGGGCATGTTCACTCCCCGTGGCTCTCGCGCACACGCTGTGACGCGGCTGCGCTGTTTCCCTGTGGCTGAGCCGGCGCGCTCCCGCCCTCCACATTCTCTCCATACGTGGATGGTCGCCGACGACAACGCACGGGCGCCAGGGGTCCGGATTGATTAGTGTGTGGGGGGGTTGAGCACGACTCACCTCACCCCCCTAAAACAGCACAAACACACACAGACACACACATTCTCATAGTGCTGTAATCAACAGCCCCTCCTACCCCCCCTTTCGCTCCCACTCTCTCTCTCTGCCCTCCAAATTCTCCCTCCCCTCCCCTGTCTCTCTCTCTCTCTCTCTCTCTCTCTCTCTGTCAGTAAGACAGCTTCTGAATGTTAATGCAGCTGCAGGCAGAGTGACTGTAGCCCCGTCTCTCTCATTCATCTCCACTCATTCACCCATTCACTGCATACACACACACACACACACACACGCGCGCCAGAGGAAACGGCAGTATCACACATGATTCTGTTTTCAGCTTATTGAGGAATGAATTAAAAATCCACATGCATTAAAGCAATACGCACACATAAACACACACTATAGGCATTACATTCCCCAAAGACCCCCACACAAGCCTATGCCACAATGTTACTGTCAAAAGACCCCATTGGGAATGTTTTTAAGTATTTCGAATGACCATATTAAAGTAACACCTACAGTAGGTTTCATCACACAGGTTTTTGTTCTTGTAAACCACATAAACAAGTACACAAACACACACATGCAGACACATATACATCACCTCCTATCTACTGGTATTGGGCTCAGATGTTATGGGGTGAATTAAGTAAGAATGAATCACACTTGCTGATTGCGTTGTTTGTTTGTGCCGTCTTAGCACCTGATTCACTCAAGGTGTTATGCAAATGAGGTAACTGGTACAAACATGCCAACTGTACAATGTATAGGTAGAGAATGCAGCTTCGTTTGCTAAACTGACTGTCTTTTACCATTAATAAAAATTGGCAACACAGATAAATATACATTGTGATAGGCAAAACAGTAATACAGTAAATTTATTTATGCAACAGTTCTGTCTGGTTCTGGAATCTGATTGGCTTATCGCCGTGCAATATTCTGCAATATCAGCATTTGTACAGCCTCTATACCCTTGTGTACTACTCCGCCCACATAGAGTGACAGCAGATCAATAGATTCACTATCTATCTCATTTAAGGCATTTTAGGCAAAATTTAGATGTTTAGATTGCAACTATGTAGTTTATTTAGAAGGATAGTGCCTATTTTAAAATATTTATAATTTCGAAGCAATTCAGCGCATCTGCAGCCATCAGCCTGTCATATTGAGCAGAGCAAAGACGCATAACAAGCCCTTAGAGGTGGAAAAACAGCGTTTTCTTTTCATATTTCAACTACAGCTGATCAAATCATTATAAAACAGGTATACAACAGGATTGTATGTTGTTGTGCTGTATTTATACCATAGTAATCTAGTAGTGTTTGCTTTGCTTTGGCTTTTTTGGGGTTAGTTATTGTGATATTCCAACTGCAACAGAGAAATACTGGGAAATCTCTGTTGGCTGATGGCATTTCATGCCTTTCAGCCTTTAATCTTAAAATGTGAGCACAATCACCTGTTTTGTCATCAATTTAGACATTATGCTAGAGAATCATTTAAACACTAGCTCTAAAGTGACGTGTGTCTGACCAGCTGCAGATGTAAATGAGTGGCGGAAGAAAGTAGTTCCTCAAACAAAAGGGTTTTTGAGAATTTCCTTGTTTAATTTCTTTTTTTAATATTCACGATTATGCCGTCAAACTGTTGTATAAACACAATATCACACTCGTAGCACACCCTGCCGGTCTCACTAACACACCTTCCAGCAGCAACCTAGCTTCCCTTATGTGGTCTCCCATCCAGGTACTGTCCTGGCGCAGCAATGCTTAGCTTCAGGGGGCAACCATGTGAGAGTTGCAGAGAGCTAGCTGACGGATGAATATTAGCATCATGAATAGTTTTCTGAATTTCAGTGGAGCAAACTGTATTTGTCTTTAAAATGTCTCATTAAAATTGTCATTATGCTGTCAAATTCTTTTAAAGAATGCCATTAATATTTAATTTCTAGTTAATTTAATTTGTAGTTAAGTTATATATATATATATATATATATATATATATATATATATATATATATATATATATATATATATATATATATATATAAATATATATAAATTAATGATGTTATAAAATTCTTTACATATTCACAATGGCTTCATGACAATTATGTTTATGTCAGATTCATGCAACTCAGGCACATTCTGAAAATGTAGTCCCATGCACGTTTCTGGAGACTTTTTAAGCGAATGCAATGGGTTAGCTCCAGTGGTGTAAAGTAACTAATTACAAATACTCAAATTACTGTAATTAATTACTTTTTCTCAGGAATTGTAATTTAATGAGTAGTTTTAAAAATGTGTACTTTTACTCTTACTTGAGTACATTTTTAGTGCTGTATCCACTTTTACTCCACTACTTCAACCTGCAGTCACTACTTTATTTTTTCTTGTCTAGGGGGATTAGAAAGTTCAGTGATGTAATTTCTGTCCAATCAAATCACATATAGAAGGCAAATCGCCTCATAATATAATACCTCAAGACATGGGCGATTTATAAATGCAGCAAACTGTTTGGAAGCATTTAAAGTGTCCAAGAAGACGTTCAAAATCAATATCAGTATTTGACGTCAGTAGGATGTTGGTTTAAGATGTTGGCTCAACATTGGATTTTGGTCACTTTCTAACACAACTTAAAATCAACCAGATATCAACATCATTTAATGTTGTTATTCGACATCAAAATAACGTTATCCTTAGACGCTGGCTAGACATTGAATTTTGGTCACTTGACATCACAATCTAAATCTAACCTAATATTAATGTCCTATGACATTGTGTGCCTGCTGGACAATAACTAAATGCACTACAGAATGTTGCGTTTACACACATCCACAAATTACATGTAAACGCATCAGCTTTTTACAGCGTCATACTCACCACTCACTACTCATGAGTACTTTTAAAAGGGCTACTTTTTACTCCTACTTTGAGTAATATTTACAAGAGATACTTTTACTCTACTCAAACTACATTTTTAGGCAAGTAATGGTACTTTTACTTGAGTATGATTTTTTAGTACTCTTTCTACCACTGGTTAGCTCGTCGTGTATGTTGGCGGACTTGAGACAAAGAGAGGAGCTGACGACAATGACGACGACGGGTTTGCGTCCGGGAAAGAGCGGTTCCAAAAATCAGGTAACACAAAAACAGAATCAAAAAAATAAAGTGAACAAGAGCATAGCAGGGTGAGAATGTGGTAAAATCCGAAAACGTAGTAAAAATCAGACGAGGGCTTTTCTTTTTCAGCACAGAATGTGTAAATTTGAAAATTGTTGGTTGGGTTTAGGGAAGTAAGCGGGCAGGCGGGTCAATCAGTAAAATTGGTTATGTTTAGGGAAGGATGAGGCTGGGTCAGGCGAATTACCGGTCACACAGTCAATCATTCAGTCAGTCAGACAGACAGACGGTCGTTCGACAGGTTTACGCGAGAACAGCGTGGGTGCAAACGGCACTCGCGAGAGACATTTGAGAAATGAAAAAGCACACACATCGGCCTCTCGTGAATTCACGAAAACCAAAAATCGCAAAAATACGTACCTCCCGAGACGTATTTTGCAGTCTCCAGAAACATCCACGGGACTACATTTACATAATGAGCCTGTGTTGGATTGATGACAAGTTTTTGTTTTTGCCTTGGTGATGTCAGTATGTCTTGACAAAGACAAAAATAGGTTGTAATGCATTTGTTTGTCAACTTGTCATAACAAACAATGTCATATTTGCATTTAAAATGTCAGAACTGAGTATATGACACTTAATGACTGTTGTTATAAGCATGCATAAAATCTTATTCGTATCATGTCACATCCATGTCATTATTATAAACGATTCATGACAGCGTTATGAACACCCCTAAGTAAAGTGTTACCAAAAAGGGCTCAGATCATGTACATATACAGCAGCTAAACTGAGTAATTAGCATAAATGCAGCAGATTTCTGGTGCTTAATCTGGAACGGTGCAACTATTTAACAAACTGACCTCTAAAAACAAGCTTTCCAGCATGAGCAAGCAGACTCCTAAACGTTTGCTTTTACTGACAAAATCAGTCAGTCTGAACACACATGCACATCCACACACTTTACGGTTATCTCTCCCTTTCTCCATCTATCCTTTTGCTCCGAACATCGAGCTCAGTGACGGCTTTCCAATTACTGCAGCGGTACAGGGCTGGAGCGACTGCAGCATGTAAATGCAGAGTAACAAGAAAGAGAGAAGAATTTAAGGGGCGGAGAGACGATACCAAACCCAGAGGAAAAAAAAAGCAAGAGAAAGAGAAAGCATCACTGAAGAAATGACGAACAGAGGCTGTAAGAATGGATGAGAGATGGGGAGGTATGGAGTCCTGTCATCACGCTTTCCTATTGATCAGCCACAAGCTTGTAATAAACGGCACTGAAAATCATGGGACGACTCTGCAGCAAGACCACACTTCATTTGTGTTGTCAGAAAAGTGGCGAATCAATATGAATTCGAATGCTTTTATTTGTATGAATGGGTATGTTCACAC